CGGTGCTGCTGGGGGCAGGACACCCCAGCATCCCTGCGTATGCCCCATACAAGCCCTTTCCCCACTCTGTGCCTCAGTTTCCCCAGGGCAGTGAATCTCCCAGCCCCAAACTCTGTATTTTTCATCCAAACCCCTTTGCAGCAGAACCTCCCCCAAGCAGCAGGGTGACGGTGATTGCCCCAGGCTCTCCTGACCCCCTCCCAGGCTCTCCTACCCCCCCAGCCTTCCCCACCCCCCAAACCTGACGGATATCAGCGAGGAGGCGGCGGAGGCCTTGCCCTCAGGAACCACGGGCGGCTGGATGGGCTCAGGGACACGGGCGCTTCTCCTGCGGGCAGAGCAGCCACTGAGCCCCCAGCCCGGCCGGTGGCTCGGCACGGGGATGGGGATGGGGCCCCAACGGCAGCAGCACAGGGTGAGCCCACGGGGAACCTCGTGGCTCGGTCCCTGCCCTCGTCCCCCACTTGGTGCCAAAGGCAAAGCCCCCGGCCCCGTGCCCGGCCTCACCCCAGGGTGCCTGCAGCCTGCGCCACCGACTTGGTCCCCTTCCGAGCCAGGGTGCCCGTGCGGGAGAGCTGGGTGCTGTGGTCCTGCGGGCACAGGGAGACACGGAGAGGCCATGGGCGCGGGCAGCCTCAGCCGCCCCACAAACTCGTCACACCCCAGAGAGCAGCAGCACCCCGAGCTCTCCGCTGGCCCCCCCCATGGGAGCAGCCGAGCGGAAGGAGCCGCCAGCGCTGCGGAGGCGGCCGAGAGGCACCCGCCAGCGTGGGAACCGTGGCCCCAGCGCCGCCACTTCCCCTCTGCCGCCGGGGGCTCGTGCCTGTGAGGTTGCCGACCCCCCCATGGGCGCCTTCCTGCGTGGGGGGGTTGGTGCTGAGAAAAGCAGCGTGGGGGTGAGAGCGTCACGGCTCAGCACCGGCCCCCGCGGCGCCAATAGCCTTTGCTGAGCGCTGCATGCCTCAGTTTCCCTTTGCTGTATTGGACCATGTGGCCCCCTCCGCCATCCCCAAGCTGGGACCACCGACCCCCAGCAGGATGAGTCCCCGAGTGGCTGCAGGGCACAGACCCCGCGTCTCCATTGCAGAGGGGTTTGAGCCCACCCCCGCACCCATCCGTGCAACCCCGGGGACATCAGGGACTGAGAAAGCCCATGGAAGCCCCCTCGCCCCTGCGGGGCGGCCCCCGAGCCCTCGGCTG